TCATTGACAACATTAACGACAACGACATCTACAGCATCAACGTCAACATCAGTGACAACATCGACGTCAGTTACAACTTCAAGTAAGAATGTATCATTGATCTTGTGGTATAATAATCTTTTTTAAATATTTTTTTAGCATCGACAAGTACTACTGCAAGTAAGATCGTCTTCGGGGACTTCGATCGGCTTCCAAAAACTATTGCTCATTATTTTGCACTCTATTTTAGCTACTGCTACGACGACGATCGTACCTGTATCAATTGCCCTCTGGTCTCTTGATAACAATGGGCTTGATCTCTACAATAATTATAATGGTAATCCCGTGGGAAGTCCAACATATACGACTAGTTTTCTTGGATATGGTGCTGCTATTAATCTCGTTCGATCATCTTCTCAATATTTAAGTATCACATCGAGGCAACTCCTTATGAATTCGTCGAGTTTTACAATCGAAGCATGGATTTATCCAATCAGTTTTACAGGTATTGACTATGGCATATTTGGTCAATGTCAAGCAACAACTACGAATCTTTGCTTGCATTTCATGGCTCGAAGTAACAAATTATATTGCGCCTTCTATTTTAACGATATACAAGGTGTAACGACGCTGACGATGAATGTCTGGACTCACGTTGCTTGCGTCTACAATGCAGCCACTCTCACTCAGCAAGTGTGGCTGAATGGTGTACTTGATGGCTCACGTACGGGATCATCTCCCTATCAAGGATCGTCAGGTGCCACAACCATCGGTGCTACATTCAATCCAGGCAGTGCAGCTGGTTTCAATGGCTACATCGATCAAGTAAGCTACATAGCTCGAGCCAAGAATGATACCGAAATTTTGAACGATGCTACCTTGTATGTCTATTACCCATTCGATAGTGGTTCTCTTATTGATAGTGGTCCTAATGGCATTAATGGAACAGCATCAGGAACTATAACGACTACAACAGGTAGAGTGAACCAAGCCATTCAATTCAATTCAGGAGCCTATGTTAGTTACACATATGCTCCATTTTACTTTTTGGGTATCAACAATAATCCTTTCAGTATCTCTTTATGGGCGAGACCGACTGGAAGTTATGCGACTTCAACTCTTGTTTTCGTATACGCACCAGCAGGTTGGTGTGTACACGTTTTAGTAATGTCATCAACTGGTAATATTAATGCGCGACTACAGAATAGTGGAGCTCTTGGTGTTAGTGGTCCTGTTCTAGCATTAAATAGTTGGACACATATCGGATATACATATAGTTCAACTAATGGTATTCGATTGTATATTAATGGTACTCAATTTGTGACGACAGGTGCTTCTTCTTTTACGGCTTCTGGTTCTCCCATGTACATCGTGCTTGGCAATGATGATGGGCGGACAAGTCTCTGCTCGCCGGGTTTTGGTGGTTCATTCAACGGTGCTATGGACGAATTTTATCTATACAGACGTGAATTGACGGCTTCACAAGTTTTAGCTTTGGCAAATCCTTGAACTAAAATTCGAAAGACAATATTCGATCGTTATTCCTATGACTTTGTATCATTGATTAAACGAAAAGATTAATAAATATGATTTAAAAAATAAAATACTTATTTTAAAGACTTTATTTGAAGGACATTTCTGGTGAAGTATGCGAATAGCAATTATCATTTTCATAAAATAATACTGCAGATGCTATGAAATCGTGCACTTTTGCTAAACGATTTTCCATAAGCCTGTTGTAGGCATGTTACACTTGTACAATTTCTATGAGAAGAAATTCCTATCACAGAAAAAGACAAAAAGCAAATGCTTAAATACGACACATGGTTTTTCTATGGTTTCACTCGTACTCATGTTTAGAGATTATTAAGCACCAATAAATAGAACTACATGAAGAGAGATAGGCGTCATTTGACGAAGAGTTTTCACAGGAAATAGAAAAATAGATTAAAAGAAATCGTACTAAATCTCTTATTTAAACGAATTCTTCATCGTCAATTTTATCTTTTTAGAAAACCAAAGATAGTAAGATTTGATAATGCAATCGAGTTTGTTTCTTTCGTCAAAACAACGCAATCTTACTAAATACCAAGTATATTCTAAAAGGTAAATGGCTTGAGTTCTTTGAAATATTTAGCGATGTCAATATACTCTTACATGGTCAATGAATCAGGTAATGATCAGTAGCGTCAAACTCGAAAGTTGAATTCAATTATTCAAGTTTTCAACTATTCAGCTATTCAAGTATTCAAATTTTCAATTAGTCAACGCCTTGAATGCTACCAGAATCCCCTAACATCAGCAGATATTGTCTGAAAAACTACTAGCTTCACCTGTTATGCTATACAATTCTCTAGAATGCTACAGATTTTGGTTGAGATGCTTCAGGCATTACCTGAGATGTTACAAGAAGTATTGAGAAGCTTGAGCTGCTGTGCAGCACTGAGTAGGAATAATGGTGTACACAGAGACGTGCATAGGTCGCGACGCTGAAATAAAAGGTGTGTTAGATGGGGAAAAGCGCTTTCCCACTGAATATCCGCAGAACACTTGAGAAGTTAAAATTTCAATAGTTGAATAATTGAATTCAAGTTTGAAGTATTACATATATGGAAGAGAACGGATCTCTCAGTAATTTTCTTGTTCTCTCCAATGCGGTCTACTCTATGTTGCTGATCTTTTTTCGATCAGATGCACCGCTCAATTTTGTTCAAGTTTGAGAATGTGAAAACGATGATGAGCCGATAAAAGTCGTCAAGATTTGAATGACATGGTGTTTTATAAAACCAGTTGAAATGATGACTATGAATGATCTAAGATACTCTCTCTAAGAATATATGTTCTAGAGTGAGCTTTCTCAACGCTATTGAATGAAATGTTGAGAATGGAGACAGTAATCTGATAGAGAAAAGATAAATAACATCTCATCAAATGAACGTACAAAAAATTTACAGACATTGTAGAATTGATACCTTCTGCCGTATTTAATTCCTAATACCGATCATATTTTAGTGTTGTGCAAAGATATACTACCTAATGAAAGATAAAACATGATTGAAATTTCTTGAACATACAATTACAAAAAGCATTCGACATAAATTCTATAAAAGTAGTTTCGAGCTTGTTCACACATGTTTTAGCCGATAAAAAATAAGCCGATATTCATACAGAAACTTTTACATCACCTGTTACTTGTCGATTAGATTAAATATCATATCTAGTTATAAGATTTTATTAATACTTGAAAAAATACAGGAAAAACATGACACGCTTACTTCTAACTACAAGAAAGGCAATATGATGCAGAATTATAGTTTTTCAGAGGATAAAACAGAATAATATAGTATAATGTCTTTATCAAATTAATAAAAGTTCACGGATTAGCAAGACTAGTAATGTCTGTTTGTGATAGTTCTCGATTGTAAATATAAAGTTCATCAATGTAACCCTGATAATATCCATTTACAGAACTTGTAGAACAACTAGTCGAATAACTTATGCAAAGATTTGCAAAAGTACCGCTAGTCCAGTATGATACAATTCCAGTTGAACCAAAAAGAACTCCATTAACATACAATGTGTATCCATTTCCTGAACTATATGTCAATGAAATGTGTGTCCATGTATTTTGTGTTACAAATGGACCAGTCAACCGTAAAGAACTAACACTGTATACTATCAACTGTCCCGTTAATAAATTTGTTGACGAAATACCAAGTAAATTGTCACAACTCCCTGAACTAATAGTTGAATAAAACATTTGAATAATTGCGATATTACTGATTGATGATGGATTTATCCACATAGCCATTGAAAATGGTTTGAGACCAACAACGCCACAAGAAATTTGATAAAAACCATAAGCTCGAAAATAGGATGATGATGATCCAAGAAAACGCATTGCTTCATTGACACGTCCACTAGCTGTAACTATATTATTCGATGTTCCGTCTAATCCATTCGGACCATTGTCAACAGTTGGATTAGGCAAATCAAATGAGTAGTAAGCCATTAAAGATGCATCACGTAAAATTTCTACTGAAGATTTTGCTCTTGTTGTCAATGCTACATTATCAATATAGCTAAGATAATAGTATGTGGTCGAATAAGCTTGAGCTGAACCAATATTGATGCTTCCATTTTGTCCTTGATAAGGTTGTGCATTTGATTTGATAGCATCTTGAACTCCATTGAGATATAATATTTGTTGTCGTGTTTCATAATTATAAACAAATGCAATATGATACCAATAAGAAGTTGAAATAGCCGTCGAACCAGACAAATAATTCGATATGAAATCAACGTACAAGCGATTATTTCGCATAATTCAATATAAACATTGATTAGCACAAGTTGAACATTGACATTGACCAAATATTCCATGATCAGAGGTAGATGTTGAATAATAAATCCAAGCTTCAATTGTAAAA